GAAAGCAGCGGCCATTTTCAAATCAAGGGTATGGAGCTGACCGGCTGCTGAAGGGACTGTTGGCTGCCTATAGGATGCCAAGGATGTGGAAGCCGCCTTCCGTGTATCTCCCGGCCCGCAGTTACTACCTGGTTGGCCCGCAGGCACCAGAACAGATCCAGTGTCCCCATCTCCAACCAAGAGTCTACCCTGCCCTTTTCTTCCGCACTCCATGTATCTTCTCTTTGGCTCAGCTTCCCACCAGGATGTGGCTTCTGCCTCCACCTGGCTACTAAAACTAAGGAGGAGACCTGACTGGATTTGGTAACTGAGGTTCAAAGGTGAGGGCTAAGAGGAACCGAGGATGCCACGCAGGTTACTGGCCCAGATGACTTGACTGTGCGCGTGGTGGCACCGGAGGGACATAATAGCTCCAGAAAGAGGACTGGGCTCTGTCGTGTTCCTCAACAGCATGGAAATAACCGTGCAGGAAAGGCCATCCACGTGAAGCCACTGGGAGAGCAAGGATGCTCGTGATGGAAAGGATGGTGACAGGGCAGAACCGGGACAGTGAACCGCAAGAGGAAAGGTGAGAGACAGGGGTTCGGGAAGGAGGCTGTCAGTTCCTGCTGAAGGAGAGGGAGAATAGCACTGAAGAAGGGGACCTGCGAGACTCCAAAGTAGGAGGAGAAAAGGAAGGAACATGAGCAGGGTGTGTAGGAGAAAGGCAGGAAATGCTGCTGTGGCTGGGCAGGGCCCCCACAGCACCTAGACCCAGGCACTATGGTGACTGCAGGGCTGCTGCTCAGAGGCCGGCCCAGGCGACCTGCAGGGAGAGGCCCCACCACAGAGCGTCAGTGAAACTGTTCTTCCAGCTCCAGGGAATGGAGCAACACCTGGCACACCCCAACACTCCCAACAATCACAGAGAGGGTAGACCAGAGACCACAGAATATGAGAACGACTTTATTTCAAACTGCTTTCAACTACGTTGGGAAGGGGGCAAACGCAGTGGAAGAGAGGAAGCCCTGGCTGAAGAGGATACGGAGGGAACCCGCTTGGCTGCAACTCTGGAGCTCCAAAGTTGGCAGCTGTTCATCTTGTAGGAATATGCTGGCTCCAACCTGTGAAACAGAGCAGGCTCAGGGACGGGCCCCCAGCCAGGGCCAGCCCACAGCCCTCCTAAGCTACCGGGACTGTGGGAAGGGGCATGGTGTGTGCAACACTCACTTCAAAGGTCCTGGAACTTGTCAGTGAAGGACTTCATGGCCGCTGAAACAGAGAGGCAGAACCGGGCACTCCAGACCCAGGGAAACAGAAACCCACCCCCTGCCCCCGTGGGGAATCACCTAGCCCTGCAACCAGAAACCCCTCCAGCCTTGGTACTGACTCACCCACCCGTCACCTGAATTAAATGTGGAAATGCCTTTTAAGGAGGAAAGTGGTTCTCAGGTGTTGGGCCATCCCAGTACTGTTCAGAACGTGTTCCAAAGACAGATAAGCCAGCCAGCAAGCAAAAACCGTATAAGCCATACCAGGCAGCAGTTAAAGGGAAAACACATGAGGTGTCTCTAACTGTTGTAAGAGAAGGAGAGTTCTGGGACTCGTGGACAAAGTATACACAGAGTTCAGATGACACATTGCTGTCTGTGCACACCCCTAGCTGAAAAGGCACAGAAGGCTCCAGGGCCAGGCCTGCTTGGTTCTCTTCCTCAAAGGAAAGTCAGTCCCAGTGATGCCACCTGTACCTGCAGTCCACCCCCATCCCCGGCACCTGCAGAAAGACACCGCTGTCCATCCCTGCCCCAGCCAGGGCTCCATCATACCTAGTTGGTCTCTAAGGTCCTCAACTTCCCTCTGCAGCCGGATGCACTAGCCCAGGAGACACCGGAGAAAGAGAAATGGTTAGTGAATTCTGGCCTTCTCTCTCCCTGTCCTCCCTCTTTCCCCCAGCCCTGACAGCCCCCACAGCCTGCAGCCCAGTGGCGAGGTGGGTTGGCATGAATCCCTCGATGTAAAAGAGGCATCCTCTCTCTGTGGGGTGCAGAAGGTGGTGATGGGGCGGGGCGGGGGGACACAGATATCAGTTTAACCTGGACACGGATCCCACCATCTAGTGTGGACCTGGATTTCTAGGAACCACACAAAGCATTACCCGAGGACAGCCCTGGGCTCCTGGGGGCTGCTGCTGCCTTTCTGGTCTTGGGGGATGGACAAGTGGCTGCTGGTCACCTGAAAGAGAACACAAATTCCAGCTTCCAAGCTTCCCAGTGAGGTGGAAAAGGCCTAGAAGAGTCTAAAGTGAAGCACCATCACCCTCTGCTGGCAACACGTTGTCCCTGCTCTGCCCAGCAACTCCAACCATCCCTCTGGGACTGTCTTCACTGTTCCCCATTGTGAGCCCATCTGCACCTATGGCCCCCTAGCGTTGTGACTCCAGGTTGGATGCCAGCAGTGGGGCAGCCACAGCCAGGCCCTGGGAGGGCCAGTGTGGCTGAGCAGGACTTAACAGAAAAGGGCTCAATACCGCTGAAAGTCTCCTTCCAGAGTTGGAGTTTGGGGCACTGCTCCAAATCGCCCCCCACCACACAAACCCCACTCATAGAGGAGGATGTGACTTAAAGCCAGCCCCATCGACACCCCATTTCCCGTGGGGCACCTGCCTGGGTGGGCAGGGAAGAATGGGAACAAGACTTAGCCCCCAGAAGCGACAGAGCCAGAGGTTTCCCTCCCGATCCCTCTCTCCTCCACCCCTATCAAACCCGCAAGACTCACCAGAGGGTGCATGGCGTCTGGGCAGGAGGCCTCCCAGGCTGTAGGCAGAGGGCTCTGAAGTTCCCGGAACTTGGGGAGCTCTGATGTTGGGGTTGCGACTGCTGAGTTCTCCACGATGCTCGGATAGGCGAGGCAGCCCTGGCCTGTGTGTGGGAAGCTAAAACAGAAATTTCTGAGTCGGGCTGGCGGTGGGGGCAGGCGGTGAGTACATGTGGGAAGGGGTTGTGGTAAGGTGGAGACTCTGGAGCCTAATCTCATTAGCACTTTCTCCCTCAGTCAGCCCCATGCCAGGAGGCAGAGCCCAGCCAGGGAAAACACTGGGGATACTGAGATAGCCCGGGCTCCCTTCCAGGTGGCTCGGGCAACAGCTAAGTAAGGAGGAGTCAGGAAGTTGATGAGCCTAGATGCCCCAGGTTTGTGGCCCACACTTTAGGGGATCACCCCAACCTCACCAGCTGCTGGCCCTGCCTTCCATCCCAGCTCCTCTCTGGGGGAGGAGGCAGGACCCCTGCAGAGTGTCCGGAGGTATGTCCGTCACACACCATTAACGTGTGCCCCTACACCAAAGACCCTTATTGGGCATTCTAGTATCCCTGGGCTCTCAATGACAACCCTCGAGCAAGGAATAGAGGGGGCATGGCTAAACAGGTGTGTGCTGGAAGAGAGGAGGTATGGTGGGAGACAGAGGAGGAAGAAGATAAAGAGGGAGAGGAGAGTGAGAAGGGCCTACTCACTTGGGCCCTTGGGACCTCATCTCTATTTGGGTCATTATCTTCTCTGGTCACAACCTGGGACTCCCTGGTCTTCCTTCCTGCAGGTTTCTTCCCAGGGCTGCTGTGCTTAGGCTTTTGTCGTTTCTTGGAGATCCCCTGGGGCCGCACACCAGACAAGGGCTGGGAGGTGGCCGGCTCCGGGGGAGCGGCTGAGAGTCTCTCTCCACAGGCAGGAAAGGATCTCCCCAGGGCCAGCTGAGAGGCACCCCCTTGGGACTTCTTCTCCTGGGCCATCTTCCTCCTTGAAGGGCCCCGGGGCACGGCCCCTGCAGTGGCAGCTCCTGAGCAGCTGGGCCTGGCCTCCACCTTTCCCCAGGCCCTGCTCTGCATTTTCTTTCCGGGAGAGTCCTCCAGCTCTCCCACAGCCGGCCTCTCCATGACTGGAGTGAGTCCGCGGGGAGCAGAGGTCAGGAAACGGCCTGGCACGGGCAGGTAACTCTCCTTGCAGTGGAAGCTTGAGTGTCTGGATGTGTCTGCTGCCTTCTTGCGGCTGCCGGACTTGGCTTGGCTTCCTCCTTTGTGGCGAATGCCCACCCTCATCAGTGGTAAGTCACTGGTCTCATCGGAGGAATCAGAGTCGTGGGTAGACATCCTGGCGGGGCCTTTTGCAGAAGGCTGCTGGGGATCCACTTGGACGCTCAATCTGCTCTTCGAGCCCCTTTCTGGGTTCTTCCAGGCCCGGCCTGACCCAGGACCACAGAGGTGGAGACGACCGGCAGAGGCCTGCTGCCATTCTCCAGGGCTGGGGCCCAGCGCGCCACTCCCACTGGGATCGACCTCCGGGTCCACCCGGTTTTCAGCGGACCCTTCAGTAGCGGCGCCTTCAGGGAACGGGTGTCTCTGGACGCTGGGCGGTGGCATGATGGTGGCTGGCTCATCAGCCAGGTAGAAAGAGTAGTCCACACCATCCCCTTGGTCATCGACGGGGGTGCCAGGCCGGCCTTCCCGGCCCCAGAGCACCACCCTTCCCTGCTCTATCAATTCGCTCTCAGGCTCGAAGCTGAAGCCCTCAGGATCTGTGAACCTGCTCTGGCCCTTGCCGCTGCGCGGTGCCCCCAAATCGAGGCCTCGGCCACGGCCGTGGCCCTGTGGGGCTCCGGGGCTGACCGTGCGGGTGCCAGCCTGCTCGCCACCCTCCAGGTCAAAACCAGCCCCCCAAACGGACACTTCGTCGGGAGAGCTCATGGCGCCAGTTCAGGCAGCCTGGCCTATGGGGAGACGGTCGTGCTGGTAATGGCGGGAGAGGAGAGCCAAGCCCAGCCAAGCGGGCCACGGGACAGGAACAGCGACGCCTTCGGGACCCTGCTGCCCTCACAGCAGGCGGAAGTACTAAGTGTCCCAGACAGCGCGTGGCTTCCGCGCGCCTTCGACCCAGGTGTCGAGCCTTCTCATTGGTCCCCCCTCCACCAACCAGCGCACCCTTTGTTGGCCGAAGCCTCTGGGCTTTAACCAATCGGGACACAGGCTCTTGGTTTGCCCCGACACCCGTCTTTCGCGTGGATGCGCTGTGGTCGGGTCTTGGGGCCAGGGTGCACTGGAGCTCTCAATCCATCTCTTTCTTGCTGTTTTGCTCCCTCCCTACTTTTTAATGATTGCTCCTCTGTGTGCCTGGTGCTTCTCGTGCATCAGGACATTTATTCTCCCAAGCTTATGAGCTGGGGGCAGCTCTCCCCTTTACCTCCGCCTTACAATGGGACACTGGGGCTCAGAGATGTGACTGTCATTGGAAAGTAGGTGCCTGGCCAGAGGCAGCAGGACAGGAAGAAAGAGGTGGATCGAGAGCTCCAGTGGGCCCTGGCCCCAAGACCCGACCCAAGTACACCCACCCAGTCAAATGACGGGCGTTGGGGCAATCCAAGAGTCTGCTTCCTGATTGGGTAAAGCCCGGAAGCCTCGTCCAACAAGGGGCGCGCTGGTTGGTGATGGGCAGACCAATGAGAAGGCGTGGAACAATGAGAAGGCAGGACGCAGGCCTTGAGGGAGCCCGTAAGCCTCGGGCTGTCAGTGACGTCTCGTGAGCCGACTGTGGTGAGGGTGGCGGTGTCCCGAAGGCCTCACTGTTCCTGTGGCCCCAGAACACCACCCTTTGCTGCTCTTTCAGTTCGCTCTCAGGGTCAAAGCTGAGAGTGTCCCCCTCGGCTGGGCTTGGCTGGGCTCAGCTCTCCTCTCCCACTGTTACCAGGACAACCGTCTCCCCACAGCCTGGGCTGTCTGGACTGGCGGACGCCATGAGCTCCACAGATGAAGTGTCCGTTTGCGGGGCTGGTTTCGGCCCGGAGGGTGGCAAGCAGGCCGGGGCCCACGCCGCCAGCCCCGGAGCCCCACAGGGCCACGGCCACGGCCGAGGCCTCGATTTGAGGGGGCAGCGCAGTGGTGAGGGCAAGGGGGAGAGCGGGTTCACAGATCCTGAGGGCTTCAGTTTCAAGCCTGAGAGCGAATTGATAGAGCAGGGAAGGGTGGTACTCTGGGGCCGAGAAGGCCGGCCTGGCACCCCGGTCGACGACCAAGGGGACGGTGTGGACTACTCTTTCTACCTGGCTGATGAGTCAGCCACCATCATGCCGCCGTCCAGCGTCCAGGGACACCCGTCCCTAGAAGGCACCGCTGCCAAAGGGTCCACTGACATCTGGGCGGACCTGGAGGTTGGTCCCAGTGGGAGAGGCGCGCTGAACCCCTGCCCTGGAGAATGGCAGCAGTCCTCCGGTGGCCCTCTCCACCTCAGTGTTCCTGGGCCAGGACCGGCCTGGGAGAACCCAGAAAGGGGCTTGAAGAGCAGATTGAGCGTCCAAGTGGATCCCCAGCAGCCCTCTGCGGAAGGCCCCGCCGGGCTGAATAGTGACGACTCTGATTCCACAGATGAGAGCAGCGACTTACCGGTGATTAGGGTGATCATTAGCACCAAAGAAGGAAGCCAGGCCAAGCCCGGAAGCCCCAAGAAGCCAGCAGACACTTGCAGACGCCCCAGTTTCCACCGCAGGGAGAGTTACCTTCAGGTTCAGGGACCTCTCCTGACCTCTCCTCCCCGCAGACTCACCCCAGTAGTAGAGAGGCCGGCCGTGGGAGAGCTGGATGCGCCTTCCTTGAAGAAAATGCAGAGCATGGTGTGGGGAAAGGTGGGGGTCAGGCCCAGCTGCTCAGGAGCTGCCGTTAGAGGGCCCCTACCCCGGGGCCCTCTGGGAAGGAAGGTGACCCAGGAGAAGAAATCCCTAGAGGGTGCGCCAAAACCGGCCCTGCGGGGAGCCTTTCCTGCCTGGGGGCAGAGACTTTCAGTAGTTCCACCTGATCCAGCCAGCTTCCCGCCAGTCTCTGGTGTGGGGCTCCTGGGGAAGTCCACGAGACCCAAGGAGCCCAAGCACAGCAGCCCTGGGAAGAAACCTGCAGGAAGGAAAACCAGGGAGTCCCAGGCTGCGGCCAGAGAAGATAATGACCAAAATAGAGATGACGTCCCAAGGGCCCAAGTGAGTAGGTTCTCTTCGCTGCACTCCTCTTTCTTCTCCTCTCTCTCCTCCTCCTCTTTCTCTTCTGTCTCCCCCCACCCACCTCTCTTCCAGCACACACCTGTTTACCCATTCCCCCTCTATCCCTTGCTCGAGGGTTGTCATCGGGAGCCCAGGGATACTAGGATGCCCGATTGGAGTCCACCTCATAGGGGCACACATTAAAGGGAGCACTTTGTTTGTGCCAGGCCTGGCTCTGGACACTCTGCAGTTGTTCTGCCTCCTCCCCGAGAGAGGAGCTGGGATGGAAGGCAGGGCTGGCAGCTGGTTTGGATCGCGGGACTCCTTAATGTGTGGGGCGCAAAGCTTGGGCGTGTAGACTCATCAACTTCCCAATTCCTCCTTCCCTAGCTGTTAAGCAAGCCTTCCTGTCTTGGGGCTGACTGAGGGAGAAAGTGCTAATGAGATTACTCTGGAGTCTCCACCTTAACACAGCCCCTCCCCATGTGTACTCACCATCCACCCCCACTGCCAGCCCGACTCAGAAATTTCTGTTTTAGCTTCCCACACAGAAGCCAGAGCTGATTTCCCTGTCCGTGCGTCGTGGAGAATACAGCAGTGGTGACCCCAACGTCAGAGCTCCCCAAGTACTAGGAACCTCACAGCCCTCGGCCTTTACCTTGAGACGCATGGTGCCCAGATGCCATGCACCCTCCGGTGAGTCTTGCGGGTTTGATAGGGGCGGAGGGGAGAGGGGTCGGGAGAGAAACCTCTGTCTCTGTCGCTTATGGGGGCTTAGCCGTGCTCCCAGGCCTCCCTACCCACCCAGGCAGGTGTCCCACGGGAAATGGGGTGTTGATGGGGCTGGCTTTAGGTCACATCGTCCTCTCTGAGTGGGGTTTGTGTGGTGGGGGGCGATTTGGAGCAGTGCCCCAAACTCCAACTCTGGAAGAAGACTTTTGGTGGTACGGAGCCCTTTTCTGTTAAGTCCTGCTCAGCCACACTGGCCCGCCCAGGGCCTGACTGTGGCTGCCCCGCTGCTGGCGTCCAACCTGGAGTCACAACGCTAGGGGGCCACGGGTGCACATGGGCTCATACAGGAGAACAGGGAAGACAGTCCCAGAGGGATGGTTGGAGTTGCTGGGCAGAGCAGGGGCAATGTGTTGCCAGCAGAGGGTGATGGTGCTTCACTTTAGACCCTGCTAGGTCTCTTCCACCTCCCTGGGAGGCTTGGAAGCTGGATTTTGTGTTTTCTTTCAGGTGACCAGCAGCCACTTGTCCATCCCCCAAGACCAGAAAGGCAGCAGCAGCAGCCCCCGGGAGCCCAGGGCTGTCCTCGGGTAATGCTGTGTGTGACTCTTAGAAATCAAGGTCCATGCTAGATGGTGGGATACATGTCCAGGTTAAACTGATTTAGGTGTCCCCCCAATCCCCTCTGCCTACCATAACCCATGCAGAGTGGGTGCCTCTTTTCCATTGAGGGTTTTGTGCCAATACACCTCACCACTGGGCTGCAGGCTATGGGGGCTGTAAGGACTGGGGGAGAGATGGAGAACGGGGAGAGAGGAGGCCAGAATTGACTAACCATTTATCTTCCACCGGTGTCTCCTGGGCTAGTGCATCCTGCTGCAGATGGAAATTGATGACCTTAGAGACCAACTAGGTATGATGGAGCCCTGGCTGGGGCAGGGATGGACAGCAGTGTCTTTCTGCAGGTGCCGGGGATGGGGGTGGACTGCAGGTACAGGTGGTGTCACTGGGACTGACTTTCCTCTGGGGAAGAGAATCAAGCAGGCCTGGCCCTGGAGCCTTCTGTGCCTTTCCAGCTAGGGATGTGCACAGACGGCAGTGTGTCATCTGAACTCCGTGTACATTTTGAAAAACGAGTCCCAGAGATCTTCTCTTAGGACGGTTAGAGATACCTCATGTATTTTCCTTTAACTGCTGCCTGGTACGGCTTATACGGTTTTTGCTTGCTGGCTGGCTTATCTGTCTTTGAAAAACGTTTCTGAACGGTTCTGGGATGGCCCAACACCTGAGAACCACTTTCCCGCTTAGAAGGCATTTCCACATTTAATTCAGGTGACGGGTGGGTGAGTCAGTACCAGGGCTGGAGGGGCTTCTGGTTGCAGGGCTAGGTGGTTCTCCACGGGGGCAGGGGATGGGTTTCTGTTTCCCTGGGTCTGGAGCACCCGGTTCTGCCTCTCTGTTTCAGCGGCCATGCAGTTCCTCACTGACAAGTTCCAGGACCTTTGAAGTGAGTGTTGCACACACCATGCCCCTTCCCACAGTCCCGGTAGCTTAGGAGGGCTGTGGGCTGGCCCTGGCTGGGGGCCCGTCCCTGAGCCTGCTCTGTTTCACAGGTTGGAGCCAGCATCTTCCTACAAGATGAACAACTGCTACCTTTGGAGCTCCAGAGCTGCAGCCAAGCGGGTTCCCTCCATATCCTCTTCAGCCAGGGCTTCTGCTCTTCCGCTGCATTTGCCCCCTTCCCAACGCAGTTCAAAGCAGTTTGAAATAAAGTCGTTCTCATATTCTGTGGTCTCTGGTCTACCCTCTCTGCAATTGTTGGGAGTGTTGGGGGGTGTGGGGTGTTGGTCCGTTCTCTGGCGCTTGAAGAACAGTTCCCCTGGCTCTCTGTGGTGGGGCCTCTCCCTGCAGGGCGCCTGGGCCGGCCTCTGAGCAGCAGCCCTGCAGTCACCATAGTGCCTGGGTCTAGGTGCTGTGGGGGCTCTGCCCCGCCACAGGAACATTTTCTGCCTTTTCCCAACACACCCTGCTCATGTTCCCTCCTCGTCTTCTCCTACTTTGGGGTCTCACATTTCCCGTTGTTCAGCGCTACTCTCCCTCACCCTCAGGAGGAACTGAATGCCTCCTTTCAGAACCGCAGTCTCTCTTGCCTTTCCTCCTGCGGTTCACTGTCACGGTTCTGCCATGTTACTGTCCTTTCCGTCATGAGCATCCTTGCTCTCCCTGTGGCTTGATGCTGGTCACCTCTCCTGCATGGTTATTTCCATGCTGTTGAGGAGCACAACGGAGCTCATCCTCCCACTCAGGGGACCAGTCCTCTTTCTGGAGCCATTAGGTCCCTCCAGTGCCACCATGCACACGGTCAGTTCATCTGGGCCAGAAACCCGTGCGACATCCTCAGTTCCTCTATTAGCCCTCATCTTTGAACCTGTGTTTCCAAATCCCATTAGGTCTCCCTCCTTGGTTTCAGTAGCCAGATGGAAACAGACGCCACATCCCAGTGGGTGGCCGAGCAAAAGGGAAGGCACAGGGAGCGCTGAAGAAAAGGGCAAGGTAGTCTCTTGGTTAGAGGTGGGGGCATTGAGTCTGTTCTGGTGCCAGCAGGCCATCCTGGTGAAAACTGCCTGCTGGGCGCCTGTAGTCCCAGGTACTCCGGAGGCTGAAGCAGGAGAATCACTTGAACACGGCAGGCGGAGGTTGCAGTGAGCTGAGATTGTGCCACTGCACTCCAGCCTGGTGACAGAGCGATACTCCATCTAAAAACAAACAAACAAAAAACCAAAACCCAAACCAAAAAATCTTCCTGCTGGCAGTTACATGGAAGGCGGCATCCACAGCCTTGGTGTCCTGTAAGCGACCTGTTGACTCCATACCCTTGATTTGAAATGGCCAGTTGCCTTCCAGGGCAAGTGTGGATGCTAGGCCTGGCTCTTCTTGGATGGTCCCCGTCAAATACCGTTCCACAATCCCCAAGGCTGCAGGTTTTTGTAGACGTGATACTTCTGTGTGCCTGTTAAGTCTTTCAGACTGCCTCTTGAGGTCACATGAGATTTCCTTGAGCTTCCTGTTCTGCCTTCACCCTCCCTGACAGTTGGGATTGCCTCCTTCCTTCAGCCGGAATCCTGGGCTGGATGGGCGTGAGACACAGACACAGATTCTGGTGCCAGTGAGGAGGTGTGTGTAGGTTCTGCCAGCTCTGAACGCCAAGAGCCTGAGTGTTGAACAGACAAAGACAGGAGAAATGCAGATACCATTCAAGATTAGCGTATGTGTGGAGACATCTGTGTGTGTGGTTTTTTTTTTTTTTTTGATTTGCCCGTTTTTTTTTGAGACGGAGTCTCACTCTGTTGCCCAGGCTGGAGTGCAATGGCACGATCTTGGCTCACTGCAACCTCTGCCTCCTGGGTTCAAGCGATTCTCCTGTCTCAGACTTCCAAGTTGCTGGAGTTACAGGCCTGTGCCACCACTCCTGGTTAATGTTTGTATTTTTAGTAGAGATGGGGTTTCACCATGTTGACCAGGCTGGTCTTGAAACCCTGACCTCAGGTGATCCACCAGTCTCAACCTCCCAAAGTGCTAGGATTACAGGCATGAGCAACTGTGCTGGCCGAATCATGGTTTCTACCCCGGAAGAAGTGATATTGAGGTGAACAGTCAGCTTCCGCACCATCTTGGGTTTCGTGGCAGGAGACCTGTTCCTGATTCAACCCACAGGAAGCATTGTGAGTGCCTGAGGGGAGAAATGTCCCTGAGGACAGCCAGAGACAAAAAGGGGAGGCAGAACTATCATCTTCAGCCCTGGAACCTCTGCTCTGTAACTCAGCCAGAGGCGATGCCAAATCAGAGTAGTTGTTTAACAGTGCCACACTGTTAGTGGGATGTTCCATGAGCCCTCTGGGCACAGATCCTTAGCCAGCTAGCTCTTCCATACTGCCAAGATACCACCTTTGGGACCTCCCCCATTCTGGATGGGCAGCACTCTGATCATTTGCTTGAGACAAGGCAAACTTGGGCTTAAGGCACCATCTAATGCTGTAAAGGAGGCAGTGGCCTAGCAGAAAAAAATGACATTCAACAGGTAAATTACACAAAATCTCTAAGCAAACATAAACATCCAAACAAGCCAGACAGAGAAGACTGGAATAAATAACGAATCCTTTAGGTATTTTATTTTATTTCTGGCTGTTGTGAATGAGATTACTTTATCGATTTTTTTTTTCAGAGTGTTCACTGTTGGCATGTAGAAATGCTAGATTTATGTGTGTTGATTTTCTATCCTGCAACTTGCCTGAATTTGTTCATCAGTTCGAAGAGTTTATTGGTGGAGTCTTTAGGTTTTTGCAAATACAAGATCATGTCATCTGCAAACAAGCAGAAGGATAATTACCAGAGTCTGGAAAGGGTAGTGAGGGGTGAGGGAGAGGTGAGAATAATTAATGGGTCCAAAAAAGATATTTAAATAGAACGCACTGTCTGCTTCCCTGTTTTGAGGCTTTCAGACTTAGACAGTCACTCCAAGCTTCTCCCTTTCCCTAGCTTTCAGTTCTTCCCCATTCAGTATGATACTAGCTGTGGGTCTGTATGTTCCTTCTATACCCAGTTTTGTGAGGGCTTTCGCCATGAAGGAATTCTGAATTTTATCAAATGAGGTTTTCAGCATTAATTGAAATGATCATATGGTTGTTATCCTTCATTCTGTTGATATGGTGTATCACATTGATTTGCATATGTTGAACTGTCCTCAGATCCCTGGGATATATCGCACTTGGTCATGATGATGACTGAATGTCTTTCCTCTAAGATTTGGAACACAACAAGGTGCCCATGTTCACCACTTTTGTTCACCATGGTACTGGAAGTCCTAGCTAGAACAATCAGACAAGAGAAAGAAATAAAAGGCCTCCAAATTAGAAAGAAAGAAGTCAAATTATCAATGTATTGTTAAATTTGGTTTGCTAGTATTTGCTGAAGGGTTTTGCATCAATATTCATCAGGGAAATTGGCCTGTAGCTTCCCTTTTTTTTTTTTTTTTTTTTTTTTTTATTGTGTCTTTGGTTTTTGGTATCAGGCTTATACTGGCCTGGTAGAATGAGTTTGGAAGTATTCCATCCTCCTCTGTTTTTCAGAATAGTTTGAGTAGAATTAGTATTAGCTCTTCTTGATTTTTTTTTGTTCTTTTTTGATGTGGGTACTTTTAGATATACACTTCTCTCTTTGTACTGCTTTGGCTGTATCCCATAGGTCTGGGTATGTTTTGTTTCTATCATCATTTGTTTCAAGAAATTTTAAACTTTCCTTCTTAATTTCTCCCCTGACCCACTGGCCATCCAGGAGCACACTGTTTAATTTCCATTTATTTGTATAGTTTCTAAAATGTCTGTAGTTATTGATCTCTAGTTTTATTCCATTGTGGTCAGAGAAGATGTCTAACATTATTGCAATTTTTTGAATGTTTTAAAACTTGTGATCTCACATGGTCTGTCCTTAAGAATGATCTGTGTGCTGAGGAAAAGAATGTGTATTCTGCAGCCATTGGATGAAATGTTCAGTAAATATCTATTAGATCCATTTGCTCTATAGTGCAGATTAAGTCTGATGTTTCTATGTTGATTTCACGTCTGGACAATCTGTCTAATGCTGAAAGTGAAATGTTGAAGTCTCCAGCTATTATTGTATTGGGGTCTCTCCCTCTCTTTAGCTCTAGTAATATTTGCTTTCTATATGTGGGTGCTCCAGTGATGGGTGCACATATATTTACAATTGTTATATCCTCTTGCTCAATTGACCACTTTATCACTATATAATGACCTTCTTTATCTCTTCTTATACTCTCTGTCTTGAAATCTCTCTTGTCTGACAGAAGCCTAGATACTGGTTTTCTTTTTTGGTTTCCATTGGCATGGAATATTTATTTCCTTCTTCTTTTATTCTGTCTCTGTTTGTCTTTATAGGTGATGTGTGTTTCTTACAGGAAACAGATCATTGGGTCTTTTAAAAATATTTATTCAGCTACTTTATGTCATTTGATTGGAGAATTTAGTTCATTTACATTCAATGTTACTATCGATAAGTAAGGACTTGCTTCTTCTAATTTGTTATTTCCTTTCTGGTTGTTTTGTAATCTTCTTTTCCTTCTTCTTTTCCTCCTGTCTTCCTTTTACAGAAGATGATCTTCTCTGGTGGTAAAATTTAATTTCTTGCTTTTTATTTTTTATGTATTCATTTTATATTTTTCCACTTGAGGTTACCATGAGGCTTCCAGATACTACTTTATAACCCATTATTTTAAACTGATGACAACTTAGCACTGATTGTATACACAAACAAACAAGGGAAAAGATAACTTATGAAAATTCAACACTTTAACTTCATCTGCCCACTTTTAAACTTTTGTTGTTTCTTTTTGTATCTTATTGTACAAAGTCTTGAAAAGTTCTCATAGTTATTAATTTTTTACACAGTGTTTTTCTGTGTGTAGTTCGTTGTTAAAATTTGGTGTTCCTGCAGGGGGAGCAATCAATGGAGGTTTCCATTCCAACTTCTTGCTCCACCCTCCCAACTGCATTCCTCAACTTCACAATTTCAGCTTGATTCCTTTTAAATACTTCAATATCATTGTTAAATTTATCTGATAGATTTCTGAATTCCCTCTGTGTGTTATTTTGAATTTCTTTCACTTGCCTCAAAACAGCTATTTTGAATTACTTGTCTCAAAAGTCACATATCTTTATTCTCCAGGCCTGGACCCTGGCGCCTTCTTTAGCTCATTTGGTGAGGTCATGTTTACCTG